GGGGGGGGGATGATGACTTTATTGTGTCTGGAGCAATTCCCTCTGTAACAAGATGACAGTAAATAGTCATCTGGGACAAAAATTACTTTTTGTTTTGATTTGGGCAGTTTTTGAGGAACTTCAAAAGCGAGGTGAAACGCAAAAAGCAACAAAGATCATAAGATCCCTAGAAATAAATGGGATTAAAAGACTTTAAAAATGCCCTGAATTATTTTATTTTTTTACTGTACTTTCAACCTACATGATTGTTTGAAAGGAATTCACCTGATCAGAATCTTAATAGGATCCTTGAACCTCTTTGGTTTTAGTTTGTGGCAGAATAATTTGATGCACCAATTATCTCAGCACCGGAGATTATACTTGATTGGCTCTTTCTCTTTCTCTCTTCCACTTCTTTTGCTTCCAATTAAAAGAGCCATCCACCAGCCTCCCCATGCCTGGGTCACTCAGCCGGTGTTGAGAGTTTTCTCAGGCTGCTGTGTCATTGATTCACCTGGAAGGGCTCAAATTAATCTTCATAAAAGTGGTTAGTGAGCTATTTGGGACTGAGAATGGTTGAGATTCACTTCTTGTCTCTAGCTCACAAACTGTGGGTGTCCTCGCAACTTGTTTGTCTGTCTTTCTGTGTAATTAACCCAAGCTAAGAAATCTCTTTTGTGCTTTTTTCCCCCCTTTTCCTTTTGTTATTTCCTACCGGGGATACACACTTGACAGATGGTAACCGTACAATGCAGATTAGACCCTTTAGTCATTTGATTTTAGATATTGATTTTAAAGGATACTTTCCCTTTGAAGCTTGCAGATTGGATTCCTCAGAGAAATATTTGTGTGGGATGTTCCAGTCGTTCCTGCTGGTGAACTTTTCTTTTATAAAGGACTTGGTCACCATGTCCAAGAAGGCAGAAGTGGTCCTGTATCTCCCCTATTAAACTGAAATTTAATAGCCACATTCCTTGCAAGCACGCCTGGAGCTAACATTAATGACACCGAGGTCGTATCCTTGGTAATGTTTCAGAGACTTTGGAGGTTTTTAGCAACTTGTGACAGACTGTAGATTTTTGCAATAGTGGATATCAAGCAAATTTCATTATAATTCCACAAACCATCCACTCATTTTACACACTGAGTTCAGTTCACTTATCGCAGCAAGTAATGTGAAATCTTTTGTATAACGTCTTTTGTGGCTCCGGAGGAACCTTTCAGAAATCTAAACAAATAGCTATCTACGGAATCTAAGGAGCTTGGAAAGAAAAGCGACCGGACTTCTATAACTTTCTTGAAGACGTTTCACCTCTCATCCAAGAAGCTTTTTCAGTTCTAACACCAACTGATGGAGAGTCCCAGGTGTTTAAGCCCTCTTAAGGCACAACTCCCACTAGGGTGAAACGTGGGCAAAACTGTTATGGGGGCCTGACCTTTACATGAGACTAGAGTCCAATCCTGTTTTATTAGATGTTTGCTTTACTACTATTCATGGAGATTTAATAGTCATTTATAAGGGATTTGTTCCATCAGAATTATATCTGATGCAATATCTGTGCAAATGACCTAGAAATAACACACTTTAATCTATTTTTTACAGTAAAAGTAAAACGATGCAACTTGACTGTCTTTTCGGAATCAATATTAGATCCAGTATTCTTATTCTTAGTCTTAGTCCTTCCCTGCGTTTGCAACAGACATTGGAGGAAGTGAAAAAGGTAGATTGAAAATAAATATTGGTCGACTGGCAAAGGTGCTGGAGACATTCCTCTGAGATTTTGGTCAATATTGACATGATAGCATCCCAATTGCTGCAGATTTGTCTGGTACACATCCATGACGTAAATCTCTCTTTCCACCCCAACCCAAAGGTGAGCTGTCGGACTGAGATCTGCTGAATGTGGAAGCCATTTGAATACAGAGACCCCATTCAAGAAATCACTTTGAGCTAATTTGAGAGTTTCACTGGAAATGGCTTTCAGAAGATGGGTACACTGTGATCATAAAATGATGGATATGGTTATCAACAACACTCAAGCAGGTGTGGTGTTTAAATCATGATCTGGTACTTAAAGGGCCCAATGTTTGTCGAGAAAATATCACCAACAGTACCCTGAACATTTGATACAAGCAAGGATGGAGCCATGCTTTTATCTTGATTTCCATATTCTAACCATGCTTGCCTAATGTACCAGCAAAATCAAGACTCATCAGAATCTTTCTGATCTTTTACTGCCCATTTCTGGGGCGTCTGTGTGAATTCTAGCCTGAATTTCCTGTTAAGTGGTCATTTGAGTTAATATTACTTTCCTATCAGCTTTATGCAGTGTGGTTATTCTTCTCCGACCTTTAGTATCGACAAAACCCAGAAAACTGCAACTCACTGCATATTTTCAGTTTTTCAGACCATTTTCTGTAAACCCTAGACATGGTTTTGTAGGAAATTCCCAGTCAATCAGCAGATCTGTCTGGCACCAATACCCATTTCTCAATGAAATCCCCTTTCTTCCCCATTCTGATGCTTACTTTGAACTTCAGCAGGTCGCCTTGACCTTGTCTGTATGCCTATAAATGCACTGAATTGCTGCCACGTGATTGGCTGATTAGATATTTGTATTAATGAGCAGTTGAACGTGTGTACCTAATAAAATGACCAGTTAGTGTATATCGAAAATTGCTGACAAAACTCGTTGCCATCTGCTGTTCACCGTCAAACACACTGACCAATCAAACGCGGGCTTGTGGCGCGCGCATGCGCAGAATATAAGACTATTTGTTCCCAAACAGTAGCAGCAGCAGGGAGTAGAGAGCAGAGGGGCGAACTTTGACGTATTCGGTTTTGAATTTCTCCGAAGAACAGACCACGTAAGTTCATCAAAGTATTCATTATGTGACGATTATAGTCACTTTATTGAAGTTCCGAAATGGCTTTTGTTTCTTATTGTTTTGTAGAGGCTGCTACACGTAGCTAAACGCTAACAGGGTCCAGGCAGTTAAGAGCAAACACGCCACCCGAGTAAACACTGCCTTCACAATACAAATCACAAGCTAGCTCGCAAGCCCCGTGATATAGCACCTGATTTCTACTGCTGAGCACCATCAAGTAGGTGCTTAGTGCTAGTATTAAGATGTTTGCACTGCTTTATCAGTGATGGACTTCAGACTGTAGCTGCACACTCTGCTGTGTTTGAAGGTGAACTATTTGTTTTTCCTTTAATTTGTTGGCAGCTGACAGAAAAATCGAAGCTTGTAAAGTATTTGCAGAAGTGGATTGGTAATCTTTTCTGTTTGCCTTCAGACGTTTTGCTTTCACTTCCTGTGAAGGGATCTCAAAGAGGACAGCACCCTTCATCATGGCTGCTGCTGCTGCTGCTGTTCAGTCCACCAGAGGCAGTCTGAGAGAGGACCTGACATGTGCCATATGCTGTGATCTGTTCCGAGAGCCTGTCATGTTGGCCTGCATGCACCATTTCTGCAAATCTTGCATATCCAGGTACTGGAGAGGAACGCAGGGGCCTGTCACCTGCCCACAATGCCGCAAGGAGTTCAGCTCCAAGCAGTTTCAAACTAACTACCTTGTGGCAGCCATGGTGGAGAAGGTCCGTGCCACTACCTCGGATGCTTACACCAAGAACCTAGAGGTTTGTATTTCAGTCTCACTTCATGTTTAACTGTCGTGCTGGCGGTTTTCCAGACAGTTTCTTTGGGTCAGCAAGAAATAAAGTCTTCTGCGATGTTATACAAATAACCTTGTGCTCTTAAGTAGACCGATCAATAGTAATTGACCAGCAAGTAACATCTGGGTTCAATACAGTTATAATTCATGCTTCAGTCCGCGTCCACGTTTGTTTTATTGTTGTTCTGCCCTCAGCCTACCTTATTTGAATTTCTCAGACCAAAGTTCACTCTTCACTCACCCTTATGATACTTTGTATAACAGGTTATGCAACTTAAGCACAGCAGAGGCATTAATATACACTGACAGAATAATAAAAACACTTGTAGGGTTTTTTGTTTGTTTGTTTTGCTGGTTTTAGCAGACAAAAAAATCCTTTTCCACTTTTCCTTAGAGAACAGATAAGAAATTGATCTGTCGAGCAAATATAAGGCTCGAGGCCTCAGCTGGTTTCTTTCACTTAACATAAAAAGTGCAGGTACTTCTAAGGATTCCCGATTGACAAATTAACTTGTCTTTTGTCTTTTTTTTTTGTTTTTTTTTTTGTTGCTTTTGTTTTTTGGAAAC